TGCTAGAACAATATAACATTTAACTGGGATTTTTTAAAGGAAACTAAAAGAGAAAAATTCTTTGTACCAATTGAAACTCAGTGAAATCTGTTCATATTAAATCACTAAAGCTATGTGAAGATTCCAGCAGAGTCTTCTGTTGGCAGAACTTAAAATGTGGTTGGTATGGAAAGGGAATGGGGAACAAAAAGTTAAACTCCAAATAGTGAAAAAGTGGGAGGGTGTTTCGAATTGTACTAATTTGGATGTAGGGTCAAGCATTTTTATGCTTTAATCAATCATTTCTGAATTATTATTAGTAATTCAAAGACATGTTCAAAGTGTTCATTTAGGCTCCAAGCTTAATATGATCTGTAGGCACAAAAAGCAGAGAACTAGCAGATAGGCAGTTAATGGGATGTTCAGGGAAACAGTTTAGTTTTACCTTCAGCTGAAATCAGTGAGAATTAAGAGCCTAATTTTTTGAAACCTTCAGAAGGCATCTTTCTGCATCTTCAAGCCCCTGAAYGAGTCTTGTCTGAACCAAATGCTTGCCTCTAGTTTTATCACTAATTTGAAGGGTGGAATAGAGAGTTAAAGAATCAAACASACAGAAAATTGATTGTTGATAAAAATATTGCAATAATAATAATAAAAACATATCATATGAGATTCATTAATCGAAGAATTCTTTTAAACAGCAATTTAATTAGTAAATATTAGAATGACATCTAGTATAAATAAACACAGTACAAACAGGACAAAGTATCTGTCATATACTTCAAAAGCAGTATATTGAAGAAACTAAATATGATAGATAACCTGCCTGAGTAAAAACAGGTCGAACAGGGAAGGAACAAGAAGCAAATGGCATATTAAATATGAACTCACAGTGTGGACAAGGATGAAAACCCCTTTGCCACTGAAACAGGACACAGCACTGGAGTGGAGCTCCAGCTGCTCCTCTTGCACTGAAGAAGGGTTTACTAAAAAACCTGTTAGATCAGCCATCTCTGTGCCTCTCATGGATACATAACAGAGCAAGCTGCACAAATCCAGTTTCTAAAAGTAATTGTAAGTACATGTARATGTATCAACCACTCATCTTCAGAAGTGCTTCTATCCTCAAAACAGCACATTGAACTTAGTTCTGGCCACTACTACTTAAAAAAGGCCCTTTGGAGTTTTTCCAAATAACAGAGACAAGCTTAGTAAAAGAACTGAAGAAAACACTGCTGAAAGAAGTCCCAGTAACCGTTTACAGACATAGAAGACATTGTTATCCATTGAGAACAGTGCAAAGACTGCTGGTCTTGGATTTCAGCACAGAAAATGTAGGTTAAATAACTAGAAAAACCTTTAAATTAAGTTCTTGACAAAAGAATCAGCTTTTACAAAACACTATAGCATCAGTGTCTGGGTACATACAGTGTTGCATTAGGACTGATCCATCACAGATCATAGGAAGGTTTCAATCAATTGTCATTTTGCACAAGGAATGGATCTGAATGTACAGCTCAGGCTCAGAGGGACAACAAAAAAAGGATATGATCCAAATATAAGTAGCTATACTAAGATAGGAGTTTATATAAAAGGAGATGAGGACATATTGTGAAAGGAAAAGAAAGAAATAATTCCTTTTAGAGGTGGGGAAGAGAAATCTTCCATAGATAGAGGAACAGAAAACAAAGGCGGAAGTATGTACATAGTCCCATGCCTCCTTGGGAACTTGAGAAAAATGAAAGCATACAAGTGAGAAGGGGCAGCAGGAAAGTTGGTACCTTGCAGATTCAGCACAAACTAACTTCTCTGGCTAAAGGAAGTAGACGTGGAGTCACAGAGCTCAGGTGCTACAACTGATTGCAACTTTTAAACTAAAATACAAGTTTCTAGATAAAACTTCAGAGAAGGTTGTTCTTTTTTAAAAGTAGTAAATAATATATAATAAAAACTATTAAAATAGTAGAAGGCTGTTTAAGAAGACTTCTTAGTAAAAATAATAGTTCCCCAGTTGAATATTTGACAGTGACATAGCATCAGTTTTTATTTGACATGTATTCATTCATTCATTCATTCATTCATTCATTCATTCATTCATTCACTCTGTCCCTCCTTCAAAAACTACATGCCCAGTTTATAATGAACAGTGGGGGTGGTGTGTCTTCCACTTGCTTGATATCAGAGGATTTGCRTTGCTCTTCAAGCCCTACTTTCCAYGAGTCTTTGAGGCACATGCTGCATCTCCTAGCCAGGTGCTCAAGCTACATTTGTGACTGCTCTCAGAGCTGAGGAGCCATCTGGCCATGTTACCATTTCCAGCCTATACACATCTCACACCAGGCATCTTTGCCACTTTTATTATCAAAGCAATTGTCCCAAAGGAGGTCAAGGCACAACACTGTTCAGTGGGACTGGTTGAAAATCTGACTAACAAGTTTTCTACTTGGAGACTTGATGAAACCATGCATTTCATGATTATCCTAGCAATTTTATTGGTGCTTTGGTCAAACATTTTRTTCTGCACTTCGGATACAGTATATGCTCAATAAAACCAGCTGAAGTATTTCAGACTATTTCATTCCCCAAAACAGGCATCCAACCACCTTTTCTTATAAACACAGGATGACAAAGCATTTTGAGCTTTGAAAACACAGAATTTGCATGTTTCCAGTCAGTTTTAATATTGGGACCAAGTTTAATACTGRTGTAAGTCTGAATGCCTCTTACAGGAAAAGGCAGGCCTTTTTAGAGATAATATTGCCATTTTCCAGCACAACAGGCCTTGCTAGCTGGGCATCACTCTTACCTCATTTTACTGACACACAGCCTAGTTTTTTTCCTATGACCTTTTGATTACTGATGAATTCTGTTGATATATTATTGTTTCCCTTAAATATGAAAAAAGAACAAAGTAGTTCTTCACCACAAGTAATTTTTTGTGCCCAAGAAGTTTTATAAGAAATTTAATTTGGTTTAGCTATGTTTATGCTTTCTTCTCTGTGGTCATTTTCAAAACTCAAATATCAGAATACTTGCAGAAAAAGCAACCTGGAGGCAAATTAAAGAATATACAGAAACAGCAAACTGTTGACCCACTGAAGTAATTATTTATACCAATAATATGATTGAGAGAATAATATTTACCCAAACAGGAAATACATACTGTCTTACACCTGCATATTTACATGTAAAACAAACCTATCTGCCCAAAATATCTGCACAAGTAGTATTGCAAACCAATTTCTAACCTACCACAATTAGATTGAGTTTTATCTATAAAAATAGTCAGCAAATAATTTCAAAGAAAAAAAAATMATCCAAGAAATCCACCCAAGCAGGAAAGAGGCCTCGATAATAAGCCCATTACTCATAATTCATTGCATGTAACGTTTCTATAGAAAGCTAACAAGGGCAGGATATTCCTTCAGGATGATGACATTACAACTGAGACAGTTCTTCCCTTTTGCTCCAAAGTCAGATAAAAGAGTTCTACTATCACATAACCCTTTTCTCAGCTATCTACARTGGAAAAGGAGAAGTCACTGCACAAGGTCTGGATTCCAGAACTCCTTATGACTCACCTGTAACTAGAAGTTTCCTAAAAGTGAAAGATGTCAGCCAAATGAAATAGGAAAGTTTACATTTCCAAAACCAAAGGTAAAATTTATGCTCCAAAATGTAAGCCAAGGCAAAATTCCATCAATAGAACAATGTACAAGGGTCTTGACTTCAGGCCAGATTTCTGCTGCCTGCTTTGAGATCTTCAATGTTTAATCTACTCTGTGCAAATCACTACTATACATGTTGTGAAATCTATGTAAAATCCAAAAGCAATGCAAGATCAGACAATAAAGAGTCATTATGTTCAAAATTAGTACCACTGTAAGTGTCCTTGGATTTAGAAGGATGCTCCAGAGAAGAAATAAAGAGAGGTATGCAAAGGAAATCTGTGTATTTCAGCAAGACATGTCCTGGTGTCTCTGAGAAATCTTAGAGGACACATTTTAGTTCTTCCAACACACTAGGACTACTATTTAACCACAGAATAAATCTTCTGAGTTTTCACATCTTAAAGGGCTCTTCCTCCTTGATCATGTTTTTACCATGTGTCATGTCCCATTCATATGCAAGTTTTTCCATTTCTGGTCACTGCCCTTGAAATATGTACCTTGCTGAAGCAAAATACCCAACATATCCATCACTGTTCTGTACAGTCACTTGGTCTCACCATACAAGGATATGATTTCATCACATGGAATAAAGTTCTCATTCACCATGCATGCTCCTTATTTCTTCTGTTTTTAAAAATCAGCAGAAAATACCCCAGAGATTCACAATGTAAGGGTTATTATTTTAAGGTCAGTTACATTGCAAGATGGGCAAATAGRAGAAAAAGGGGTTCTAGTTGTCCTCAAAACCACCAAACAGTTTTGGACCACAGAAGTGAAGATCTGTTATTCTCCTGTTATTGTCTTGCAGTCTAGAAGGCACCTGGGAGCACGAATTACAATTGCACGTACATTCTCCAGTAAGTCTTAAGATGGGATGCCTCAAAAACATGGGTAAGATAAGTGCCCTTCACAGAAATGACATAATGAAGCAAAAAASAATATCAAAAGAAGAAGGAAAGCGTCAAGAACTAGACTAAAAAAATAAACCAAAACCACTGTGTAACAACTAYTGGGCTCCTCCCTCATACTAGGGCTCTGGTATTCTCCTTCAGTGTCAGCTTTGGGCTCTTGTATAATTTTTCTGTTTGGCCAATGCCTCACTTCACCTGCAGTCCAACTGCAAGATGCCAAAAAGCARGGCCATATTCAAAGGGAGTATGTATCAAAAGAAAGCACTCGAGATGTTATTTGYTTCTTGGAAGGGCTCAACTTTTGATGATGCCACAAGAGTACTTTCTGAATRAGCGATAAGACTCATAAGATAAGATAATTTAGCCCAGTGAGATTTTAAAARGACTGAAGGGAAGAGAATCACCAAATATATCAAGAGATACAACAAGGGTGAAGTACCTTTGTCGGAGATTTTTGAGTTATGCTTTTGTTTGTAACTATCTGAAACAGAGAAAGAAATAGAGGGTGAAACTTACATGGGRGAAAAGAAGACAAAAGACAAAGAAGCCAGAAAAAGAGAAAGAGAAAGAAAATATAAGAGATGATTTATTAAAGGGCAAAGGAAAGTCGGGGTCTTGCCGAGGACTTAATTTCCTTCATGCAAAACACCAAGAGCAGCAGAAGCAGGTGGCAAACATGCAAGTCAGAGAGCAGCAGAATATTTTGCTGTAATATTTGCTGTAATATATGAATATTTGTAATATTTGCTGTAATATATGAAGCCCTGAGTGCACTGAGCTGGTAGGACCAGGCTGGAAGCAGAATAAGCTTTCTGGTTGCTACTTACTGTCACAAACATAGGGTTTGTCATGATCATCCTGGGAGGCAGCATCATTCCGTCTCCTGCCACCTCCAGATCCCCGAGCCTGCAAGGACAAGAGGAATGTTAGCATTGTTCCATCACCCCTCAGGTCTCCTTGTGCCCTCACCCTCCTATGAAAAATGTGCAGAATAAACTAAACAAATCCTCAGCTTCCATACTGGTTTCTCAAAGTGCTCTTTACCCTTCATCTCCTAAGATAGGCACCATGTAAATGGACCTTGTAATGCAGTGGAGATGCTCTCCACAGATAGCTCGAACTGTTCATCCATAGCAGTAGGTCACTGCCAGCACATATTCAGTTGAGTATCATCACACATTCATTTCTGAAGATGTTAAAATACCTTGCTGAACTGAATATGAATGAATAGATGAACAGGTGTTTAAGGATAAATACAAACATTTAATCAGCCAGAAAACAGGCCCCAAATAAAAAAGAAGTCAAATACTTTCCTTCAAAATTTTCAATTGTTGTGTTGTTTTGTTTTGTTTTCTAGTGGAAAAGCAATGTTTTGAAATGGCCTTCTGGGACAAAGATACCATGGCTAATTACAAAATGGAGCTTTGGTCAGTTAGTGGAAAAGATTAGGTCACGTGGCTACCTGCAATAACAGAAATTATCCATAAAGGTCTCTCTGCAGTTCTGTGTTCCTACAATGGATCAAACTGGCAGTTCTAGAAACTGAAAAGCTCTGTTTCTCCACAGCACAGACTGCTCTGTCTTGAGTTCCAGGGGTGGGAGCGGAATTCAACATCAAAACTATTTGATCCTGACCCTTCTCAGCTGAGATGCCAGCAAGGGGACAGCTCATGTCTGTCCAATGGTGGAGATGTGATGTGGAACTGGGAACTGAGCCAAAGCCTTCAATTCCTTCATTGAAGGAACAGTCTGAAATGACAATAATTTTAGACTTGATCTTTGTTTGAGGAAGTGATCACAGGTGGATAGCTAAATATTTCTTTATTAATTCTGCTAGCTACTCTATTCCTGGATAAAAACAACAGAATTGCTTCTGCTGCTCCCCTTATTAAACTGATATTTCTCACTATAGATAAGGCCACCTAATTCAAATTCTGCAAGTTTTTGTATGTGAAAATAAGAAAGGGACAGAACTTTTTTTTGTAAACCTGAAGAATGCATAGAAATCCAGAGAATATTCACACCTAGACATAAAGAGGCCATAGAATCTCTGTCCCTATTCTATGGGCTTGAAACAGAACTAGTACTATTAGAGCTATGTTCCATTGGATATCTGAAGAGAAGTAACAAGGAACAGTTTTACACTGTTTACACTGGCCTGGCAAAGTCTGTCAAAATAGGGATTTATAAAAAACTTCAAATGTTATTTCCCTGGGATTGCTCAAGTCTAACTCTTTTCCCGAAGGAAAGACATGGATTTGCAGCTATCTGTATGGGGTAAATACTACTAGGTATGACAAGGATAACTCTGCCTTCTGCAAAGATCTCTGTGCAGTCCAGCACACATGTGCAGAGCAAGATTTKTAAGGGTGAACTGAAAAGCAGTTTCACCGAGAAATGGTCTCAACAACAATTGTTTGGTGGAGGCTTCTTTACCGACCATATCACATAAAMTCATCTTAGTAGTCTGCAATATTTTCTTTCTGACTGCCAGCTCTGTAAACCCCCTCTGGGCAATGAAATCAGTCCTGGGTTAGTTCCTTTCTTCYCTCACTACTGCAAAATGTGCTGCAAGCTGAATTTCCGTCCATGGCAGCTCCTCTAAAACCCTCAACTCATCAGGGAGTCTTCACAGAGACAAGTGATTGCCCTTATAAATATTTCTGCTGGTACCTGGATTAGGATCTAATTTCCCTATCCTACCAGCTGCATTGGCTTTTCAGGGCTGTGAAAAAAAATGTGAAGTTTTATATTTGTCACTAGTCAGTAGCTCTGACTCTATTCACACACTGGGAACATACCTATTGAGTAAGAAGGTACTATTTTTACATAGGTACGGTTCAGAATATGATAGTAATTTGAGGTTTGCTGCTCAGAATTTTGCTAGTCTTAGAGCCGGCTGTTTGCTGTCAAACTGTTCTCTACAGAAATGCAGGGGCATGGCATTCATGTCATGACCACACATCAGAAACACTTTTTCATGCAATGAACATAGAGGGGGATATTTTTCAAGTCAATGACTTTCAATGGGACTTGGGTTCTTAAATGTCTTTGGTGCCTTTGAAATGGTCCCGCAGGACATCCAGCTGATGACAGACAATCTGCACAGGTACAGCTGCCTATATCTCATATCTTCTGGCAAGCTACCCTTCCTAGCTCCTACCACATTGTCCCTGTCCAGCAAAGACACTAAAAATCTCCTGTGTATCTGCCTCTTCAGCTTTCAGTGTCTTTCCTGAGCCCACATGATTTTAGCTTCTAGCCCTGAGAGGGAAGAACCAAGTGGCTGCCCCAGAGGCCCTAAACTGAATGCCCCACGCTGGCTGTCTGCACTCCAGGCTGTTGAGTTCAGTCATCCACGAGTGCCTTCATTCTCCTGACAGGATGCAGCAAAGACTTKATATGTGAGGCCTGGAAGCCATGGCCCAGCAGCCTTGAAGCAGCCCAGAAGYAGCCAGAGAGAGTAGCCAGAGGGACAGATGGAGAGTTCAGGATTAAAAACAAAATCATGCTGTAGGGAAAGGAAGGGGCATGTGCAATTTGGAAAGTCCAGAGCAGTAATTCCATTGCATTAATCCTTCATTTATGCTGTCAGTCCTTCTCACTCCTTCTCTGAATCCCCAAAGGTCACACTCCACAGGACCTAGTTTGCTATGCATGTCTTTCCCCTCTTCYGCCCTCTAAAAATACCCTAACCAATTCCTTCCCAGAAACAAAGAGCYGCCTACGTTTCATGCTCCCTAATTTCAAATCCTTAGCCTCAATTCCCGATACTGGGTCAGGCTTACAYGGTAAGCAGAAAAGGGCTGCTTTTAGAAAACTGGCAAACCTCTTGTAAGCCGATGCAATTCAGGCTTGCCACTTTTTAACACCTATATAACCTGGCCCTAATTTTGAAATCCTTTTCAAATTTCTACCACATTTTGCTTTGGTTATTGATGCCATYAAATAAAACTAAAAATTGCTGGAAGAATTTGGTACCATTCAGACTTCTCTTTTTTGCACTGAAAGAAGCCRGGGCACTAGCAGAGCAGGAGTTAGTTGCAAGAAAAGGGCAAGATATCCTGTACATAATAGGGGGCCAGTTCTAGGGCAGAAAATAAAACATAAATGTATGCTTCAAAATACATGGAACATCTAGTACCCTCCAACTTCCYTCCCTATAGTAACAGACAAAAAGTTCTGTAACATTTTCCTAAACAGGGAAGCAAAATCTTGCACATAACTCTGATTTCAGCACTTTGTTTGTGTAGGTCTGGGACRTATGAATACACCAAATTCCCTTCTCCTGAAGAGTATATATCTTTTAGCTGTTCACTCCCTTTCACTAACCCTAACCAGCACGTGCAGTTTATGTGAGAGCAACTTATTAGAAAAGAGTTGTTAGCCTGGAATATTAGTTGATCGCTACAGTCAAGCTTTTGTGCATGTATTGACTCTATCTCCTGGTTTTGGTTACTGGTTCATACAAATTTTCTGAAACTTACATTTTTCTGGAAAATTTTTTTCCAGGTGGGGGTCTTTGGCTAAGAAAGAAAGAAAGAAAGAAACTGGTTCAGGTGATTTTGAGAATAAGGAAGGTGAAATATATACTTATCCAATTATTAAAGTGCTTTGATCTTATATTAAAGGACTTTAGCTCCAAAATAAAGAGGAGCAGAAAACTGAAACAACACAATAACAGAGGAAACCAAAAGAGAGGGTCTGATGCATAAGTACATTGCAAGTATTCAATGTGGTTTCATGTCTCTTATTCAAAAGCTATTATATTCTGCTCATTTGGCCTAAAACGTGGCCCGTCTTGCTTGACTTCTATAAACACATCAAAAGGTAGTTCTAGAGCTCCTGTGCCCTTGCAGCATCCACTGGAGCCAAAGAGAGATGAAAATGCTCAAAACTTGTGAGAATTGTGTTCACGTTTATTTAGATGCCTAGCTTACAGGCCCACAATTGAAAAAGTTGATTCCAAGTTTAAAATGTCGGCCTCGTTACTTAACTGGTACCCTGATGAATTGTGAAGACATCTTAGGTAAGAGAAGGGACACAGAGTCCCCCAAGGATAAAATATTGCCCTTTTTAAGCAAATGGAAGATTTGCCATGGGCTCAAGWGAGCCAGTGTCAGCCACAAAATGCTACCCTGGAGAAAGCTGCAAAACTTGTTAACACATTTCAAGTTATTTTTATTAATACTTTTTTGGCTGCCATAATTGAATTTGTTGCTTTACTGTAWATAGTAAATGTTGTTTTAAGGAGCATTGTAATACCAGGATGTAATCATAATTATTACAGTTTACATTACAATTGTAAATACAACAGAAAAATTCATTTACCCAACTTTTTACTCTCAAAATAGTCTTTTTTTTCATGGCAGTTCACAAAAATAAACTGAAAAAGTATTAAAACTCTATTACCATATGACTGAAAATTATCCATAGTGTTATCATCATTATATATTCATACACTTTGCATATATAATACACATAAGTAATATACACTAGAAAGCAGAGGTTTCCTTACTTCCTTTCCATTCCAATAAACTCTCCACTTACCCGTCCTCTAGGCCTGTTCTTTCGTTTTGGAATATCTTCTTCCAAATCTTCTTCCTCATTCACTTCATCTGCATTTTCGTCATTTTCTAAAACCCTCTGTGGTTGAACARTAAACAGGAATGGTTAGAAGAAAAAAGGAGGACAGATGCAACCAACTGCTGCTCWTTACCACAGTGCTTGTGGGTAATTACCATTGATATAAAATCAAATCAGATCCCAGTACCCCTACTTCTCTCTACTTAAGCAAAATTTCCTTTCCTTCCCACCCTAAGATCTCCAGGGAATTCTTACTTTAAAAATACTACTGATGTCAGTCAWCTATGATAAAAAGGTTCCTAAGAAAAAATAGAGTTGTCACTGAGCACCAATATTCCAAGACAACACAAGWATTAGTAGGCAAGGCCACTAAGTAAGTGCAGGCCCTGTCTGGGAACTTGTTTGCCTGGGRTTTTTATTTTAATTTCTTGCAACTTAAATTGGTTTGTTTTCCTCTAATGTTGAGAGTGCGCTCTAAGAATACAAAAATCAATGTTTTTCTCCTTGGTAGCTCACAATCTTCTTTCTTTAGCAAAAATAGAGAAAATTCCTTCATATATTCCAGAATGAATTTAGAAAGCCATGTCTTTCCAGGCTTGCATCACAGGTAGAACTCTAATCTGGAAGCAAGAGATTTGCTGCATGAGAATGCTGAGAAATTACAGATCTCATTGAGGTTAGCAGGACCAATAGCAATAGTCCATTCAATTAATTATATAATAGAAGCAATTGTTTATCAGCTCAGATAACTGTGAGATGCCTGGGCCAGGGAATTTCAATCCTTTTAACTTGATCTTTTGAAATGTAACCTCTGTAGAACCAAACACAGGCTGGCTGTCCTGCATGAAAACATGCACAAGTCAGACATCACACAAAAAAAAAGCCAGACAAATCATCACAACACTCATGTGGAAAGAAGTCTCATTGAAATTCCCTCAACCCTTGAAATGTGTGCTAGAAATGCAGACATTGGCCACAGCCATTTATGGTGCTRTGCCATTTTGCAAGGGACTAATCTGGAATCACTGATTTACCTTTGCCATGCCAACATTCATTTAAACTACAACCTGCAGCCACAATGCAGATTCTAATCAGTGACATTAAACTGATTGTAAGGTTTTCAGTCTTACTGCGTTTGTCCCTTCTCTCTAATTTCTACTAACAGCTATTTGAGAGCCAGCAGAGGGAGAACAGGAGAAGATCACAGTTTCTTTATCTCCTTTCAACACCAAAGCACCAAATTCTGAATTTATGGGAAAGAATACAACAGAAATTTCACATTCCAAAARGCATGTATTTAGAAGAACAGTTACAAAAGTTTATTCTTAATTTATCAGCTAAATTTCCAAGACTAATACTGGTCAGTGCATTACACAAAAGCTGTAGCACATGACAGAGGATTTAGTCTTCATCTAATTTTTGCTTCTTCTATTTTTGAGTATCAGGAGGCTATTAATGAGCTCCAACCATCATGAAATATAATTTCACTTAATACTGGAGTACTAAATACTAGAGGGTGTAAAAGTTAAGCAGGTTCCMGTTCTGGATGCATAAAATGTTTCTTCGTAATTTATACAACTGTATCCATTAATRGAATTCATCTTGGGACTGAAGCACTTGAAAAATGTTGTACATGAGGAGACCGTAAGAAATGTAAGAATGTATGTAAGAAAAGAAGTAAACTTACTGGTATGAGTTTGCATTTTTCCATTGCTTATATCTTAGTGTCTCAAAAAAACCCAGGGGCAACCAGATTGTATGTAGGAGGGAAAGGAGTTAATTTACAACAAYAATACTACACAAGAGTTAAGAGAAATAAATATTACAAACTACTTTCTCTCTTTAAAATCGAAGCATCAATTTAGAAAAGAGAATATGTAACGAAGTGTGAATTTGGTGACACTGCCAGAGTAATGACCTTACTCCTTGATAGAAGGGGCATAACCTTTCTGATGCATAGTCAGAAGGCTACTCTAACTCTTCTCCATCAAACAGTGGAGACACACATTCCATACCAATTTACTGCAGGGCAAAATCGTCAACCCTGTTACATATCAACTGTACAGCAGGTCCCAATGCCTGTATCTGTTTAGGAGAGGGAACCCTTGTATGTTTTAGCAGAGTTACTTTTCCTATTGCTTTTCTAAAACGGTTTCCCAGCCCTATGTATTTTGGTGCAGCCAACAAGCACCAAGTCTTCTCCTGACAGATACTRTGAATTTGGGAGGGTGGCAAATGGCTGGGACTGAGGTGGGAATTACAATTATGTCCATCCCACCTGCTCACTGTCCCCACCACTGAGGCTRGACCCTTTAGAGTTATAGCACAGACAAGGATGCAGAGGAACAAAAGAGACATTGGCGTTCTCTTATTTGTCACACTGATAAAGGCACTGATTGTGATTTTGATCAGGTACAGTCTAGCTGACAGGTGCCAAAGCACACACTGAAAGCTGGCTACCAGTGAAGGCTTTGGCAATCATTTTTCTACAGACTGAATCCACATGAGCTGTGCCTGCATAAAATAAAGCAGCAAGACATGTCTTCTGCATCTGTTCTGATGAAAGTAGCATCCAGGTGACGGGTCACAGCTACAGCACTTTGGCTGAAAATTTGTTCTGTTTTTTGCCCTCCCTCCCTACTCTGCAATGCCTGAATTTGAGTCAGTTCCACCATATCTGAGGTCTCTTTCCTCAGACTGCTGCTGGGGATAATTTGGGAGCTCAGATCACACAGCAACATTGCAGGGCACTTGTCAGTTTTGTGAGGATGCTGCACGACTTCTTGTGACCCTGGAACCAGGCAAAACCAGCCCTTTAGTAAAAGCTCTCAGCTTCGTAGACCTAGATATACTACTGAAGGAGCAAACACAGAGCAGGGCTCGTGCCAAGCTTTTCCCCACTCCMTGAGCATGGGATGGTGCTTTTTCACCTGTGCAACTGGGAATGGGAGACCCAATTTGGCTGCTCTTACCTCTSTAAAATTTCTAACAAATAGAGCAGTAGGACTGAACTCCAAGTAATAGAGATTTGAYTCCTGTGTTCTTCTATTTCATTTGGCATGGGACTGACCCTTCACTTTTTTACTATTTTGAGGTATAGATGCAACATTTTGTATCTCAGCCAAAATTACTAAATTTGACACATTGCTAATAACGCTCAATAAAAATCCCTAAAAAGACTCGTGGCACARTGGTGTTTTAGCATCACCAAAGATATGCTGCTATGGGACAGGAGCTTTCCTAGAGTCTTAAGATGTTCTAAAAGTGACGTGGATTTATATTAGAACCCTTTATATTAGCTAAATTCCTTCTGTAAYACACCTACAATCGCATTTCTGCTTTTAATTGTTGAAGGATTAAATGCAGTCTTGACTAATAACTTACAAACCATATTTCATGTAAGAGGCAACATTTCTCGTACTGCATCACTAATAACTGAGATATTTAATATTACAATTTTTAAAGTTATTCGTTTTTCTTGTATATCTCCAGAGGGCTACCTATTATTAAAAAAAAAAAAACAAAACAAACCCAAAACAGGCAAGGCAATGGCATATTTTTGTCCATAGCCGCTGTGAATCCAAATTGAAATCCATGTCCAAATTCACTTTAAATGTGAGCCACTGAGATTCAGGTTATAGTTGGATCCACCTCAGCTTCTCCGTTTTGTATATAATTACTTCATAGTGCTGCAAAATAAATTCCAATGCAGAAGCTGTTCACAACACAGTCAAAGAACAGAGATCCTTGTGATAGGAGAAGCGTGTGAGATACTGACATCATTTTGAGCATCACAGTGTAGCACAAAGGTTTGATAACATTTTGGCAGTGGAATGACACAACTATCAACAGATGCACTGTTCCACCACAGGACAAAAGACTGCTAGACTTAGAGACAAATTGTAAAATCCAGCCCTGATGTTAGGGCATGGGGCTCTCTTTTACCTGGATTTCTTGTATAGTGTCTTCCTCTTTAGTGTCTGTTTTTTTCTCTATTCCYTCTCCACGTAGCAAGGCTTCCAGAGTTGTGCTTTCTGAGGTGAACCCATCTTTTTTCAGAGGCAGGTCAACTTCTGAAAAACAAAAAMCACTCACTGTGTGTCTCTCCCAAAGAGCTAACAAGCACAAGGACAGAGATAGATGTCAAGCAGACGATGAACAGACTTTCAAACTTGTTTCTGTCTTGAAGGAGAACTCTTCAAGTTCATTTAGCCACTAAGGAAGTCCATATATGATTCATTTCTTACTGAAAACCTGGTATCTTTTCAATTGCTGTGTTTGTGTACAGGAAAAAAAAGCTGGATATATTCTATTGGGAGGAAATAAATGAGGGGAAAAAATCCTTCTCCTTTGTGTAAACTCCCTATGCTTCAAATAAAGAACAAGATACTGAAATACTAAATATGAAGAATCTGATCTCCTGAAGAAGAAAAGTAGCTTAATGCAATTTATCATCTGGCACAGTTTATATAGCACAGCTTCAATGCTCATTCCCCCACACCAGGGCCTGTTCCATAAGAACAGAAAAAGCTCATGTGGGGCACAATGCTGAGACCTTACATTGAAAAATAAAGGGATGTGTCTTGAATTTTCATGTAATATGGACTAGATTAAATTTCCAGTTGGCTCCAGCTGGCCGATACCAGTGAAGAAACACAGTTATGAGTACAGAATCCTGCCCATAAAATGGGATGACACCCAGTCACTGCAGGAAGAGCCACAGGCTGGCTCGGGGRCAGGTGGGGACAGAGCTCCAAAGACACTGGGGGTTTATAAGGAATTGGATGCAATTTGCTGGACAAGGGAAGGAGCAGAGCCTTATTCCCCTTTCAAGTGCTGCCGTTAGATTATGARGCGGTGCAGCAGCAGGCAAATACAGCGTGTTAACTTTAGCATGTTACAATACACCCAGGCAACAATCCTGCTACATTTCCTTGTAGATCCCAGCCTCTACCCCACTCATACAGGGGCTCTCTCAGAGCAACCCTATGGCAGAGAGACATCCTGCACATGTCTTTACCTGGCAATGCCAGGTATGGGTTTCTCAATTACTCCTTCCCTTCTGAAATGAATACCTTTGTCTAGGCCAGTACATTTACAAGTAAAAATGTACAAGACCGATGCTTACCAATCAGCATCTGGTGTCCTTATTTCACAGTTCTGTCTATTTCTTATGCTTTAGAACTGTATTTTGTTCCCCAATCTGCCTGAAGCTTCCTGCCTTTCTATYGCCATGCATAGTAAATTCAAATGCAAACCAAATAATGAATGAGCACTTCCACCTGGGACAGTGAAGTATAATCTGTTTCTGGGGGGGCAGTTGCATCCCAGGAATATGTTTGTTCTATATATGAAAAACTTTAATCCAGCAAATGGTTCAGGGTCCCTGATCTCCACAACATGCTTGCTCCAGTCTTCTGAAGTGAGAGAGCATTGCTCAGCCAATAACCACAGAAAATCCAGRAAAAAAATTCCAGGAAAAGCTATTCTATTCATGGAGAGAAAGGCTCATGCAAAAAACCCAAACCACTGGGATTTTGAAGSAAACTCCCAGGACAACCCACACAATGGGATTGGGTCAACTGTGAATTGATCCCTCTCCTCATCACAAGGAGTTTTATTCAATCAGGTCTCTGTTTTCAGCATTAAGCTTTGCACACCCACCCCACTATGGCCCCTTCCCCAACTTCTCCCTTGTTTGAGCTATATAAAAGACAGAGAAGTCAAGAGAGAATCATACAGATTGAATTTCCCCGTATGAACTCCTTGTACCTCCCTCCGGATCCAGCTATTTCAATAGAAAGAAGGGATTTTTTACTTGATTTATGTGCAAATCCCAGCACTTGAATCTGAAGTCACTAAGGAAYCTCCATAATCATCTCTGGATGTGGGCTTGCCTTGGTTTCAAAGTCCTGTGCTTGGGTGCAAAAGGGCATTTGCTCTGTATTTGGAACCTTGTGAGGCTGCAAAACCCAAGGGGTCATCATACATTCAGCAGGAAAAGAAGCTTCAAGCAAGCTCAAGGGCATTGGAAACAAACTTGTCTTCACTGTGACAAGCTATGWCTGTCTCTGGATACCAATACATTCAGCAAACGAATGCATTAGAAAAGGAAATGAGCAAGGAAAGGCTGAGGGGTAAGKAGAACATATATGAAGGTGGAACTACGCCTCGTTTGTTCCAGAGATACCGAACTCTGAGTTTGAAAAGAGTGAAAGGTAGRTTTTAAGGGTCAAAACAGGCAGCTGTCTTCAAGAGGCATGTTTGTTCTGTGTGGCACTGCTATTTCCCAACAACAAYCCCCCAGGAAGACTTTTCATCCAAAACTCTCAGAACATTTTCTAATTACTAAATTTAACATCCCACTGACAAGGCGTTGTAAGGTAATATTTTTATTCACAGTTTACTGATGGGGAGACTGAGTCACCAAGAAGTTCAGTTAGTGAGCTGGGAATCCAGCGAAAATAAACTCAGCGTCTGCCTCCCATTTGCCCACTAAACTGACTGCCATTCAATTCCTTCATTTTCTTCACCACTGGTAGCTTCTATGAACATGCTTTAATTSCTAAATAGCTCTAGAAAGTAGGAAATGGCAGACACTATCTTATCTGGAATGTAAAGTTTACGTTACAAAAACCTTCAGAGGTCCAAAGACAACCCCTTGTAATGAAATCAATCTTTGYAATGAATTCAATCCTTCCTGGAAGATGGCTAGTCTGTAAAGGACACATTAATGAAGACAGGAAATTATGTTTCCAAACCAGTTTTTGAATCCCCAGGGATGAAAGTCTTCAAAAATATAAAAGATAGTTCMGTTAACCTACAGAAATAGTTAAACACTATCAGGGATCATTGAATTAATTTCACTAAATCCCTTATTTTCTCATTTTTATTTAACTCTCCATGATTTTTCCACAAAAGCAAGAAAAGTGCCTTTTTCTCTTTTGCCAGTACCCTAAAGAAAACTGAGAAGCCAACTCAAAAACTGAAATGTAGTTTTCATGCGAAAGATCAAGGCTTTCCCCAGACTATGGGAACTGCTGTTTRGAAGTAAGGTGGGGTCTGTTCCACTCACTCTCCTGCTTGTGAAGGTACCAGCCAGAGCCTGAAGCTTCAAACAAGGCAGAGGGAGACTCTTCTGGGCTTAAGAAATAGAGCTGTGACCCCGTKCTTGCCTCTGCTTTGATATTGGCCGTGCCACACTATGCAGTCGCCTCACATGCTGCAGAAGAAGCTACTAATGTCTGCCAGGAGAGAAATGCAAAAAAACTTATCTACCCTAATACTGCATTTCATCCTGAGAGAGAAATGCAATATCCCTTCCAGTTATCCTAAATCTGGCTCTTCTAAAAAGAYACGGAATAGCCCAGCCCTTTCTGAATTTTGATGCACTTTTACTCTCCATGTTTTCCCATCTGAGTTCATTCAACAGTTTAACTATGGTTTGAAAGGAGTGTTTCACTTTATTAATTGACAGCCCCCTTGTTCTTGCTAGGGAAAATAGAAGTTCTTGACCAAGACTTTTGTAATTGCTTTTTATTCCTCTCATTTCAAGGATAAACAGTCACAATCTTTTCTTACTCTGCTGTGGGATGTTTTCCAAATGGGCCTGACAAACCCCTCTGAACTTTCTCTTATTATATGCCAGTCTTCCCAAGACAGACCAGCCCTGCATCTGRTATTTTCAGATGAAACCACATCTCCCATTTAAACAAATTAATTACAATATTCTTTAGATTACTTCTCAGGCTGTGTTTTTCAAAGACCAAGTTGCCTCCTAAAGCAGAAGAACTRGGAATCTTGTAATGGGGACAAGAACTTCCCATAAGGAATACATTCAAGCACACAGGGATTATATTAAAATGCCCATCCCTCTGCCCACTCCCCAAGCATGTTCACCTCTCCCCAAAGTGTCCTGCACAGACCTCCCCAGCCGTGATCGTTCTGAATAACTTTATGTTATGTACAAATCTTTGTAGCTGACGAGGTATTCCCACTCTGCAGTTTGTCCTTTGCTGTATTGCACAACACTGGAGCAAGCACTAAACCTTGATGCATCAGCTGTAAGCCTTTATCTATAATAAAACTTCTTTTGTCTATTATCTTTTATTCSAAAAGTTTTGATCCAAGACAATTCTTCATTTCTCTGTGGAGACATAGCAACAATCTTCAGAAAGTGTAAGAAAATTGTCACCCCCCCCCCCCACACACACACACCTATTAGTTCTTTACACATCATGTAAAGAATTTCTTTTAAGAAAGTAATGATACATGCTTTTCCTTGGTAGGAAAAATGTGGTTGGTTAGAATCTCCTATATCATCATTTCCCAGGTGCATTACTGCTTGTATGTAATTACTGTTTCAATCAATTTTTCAGATGTTCATGTGGAATTTATGGGTCTTTTAATCTTTGAATCACATCCAAATCCTTTTTAAATACAGGTAATAGCATTGCTACCCACTAATTGTTCTAAATTCTTTGGAACTTCTAGTTTGTATCACAAGCTCTTCTTCAAACATTACAATTCCAGAGGACATGATCTTTATTACAAGTAATAGCTACCAGTGAAAGCACTATAATTAAAAGCTCACTCTTTTATACAAAAATGTTAAAGTTTGTAGATAAATTTCCTTTTGATTAGTACTGCAAATACAACAGCACATGGTTAATATACCAGATACAAAAGCTAGTTAAAATTATACAAAGTGGCAGTGTCAAATCAACAAAAATCATCAATGAAAAATACAGCGTTTTTTAAGAATTCTTCCTGTTTTAATAAACCGTGGTATTATTGATGTCACAACTAAATTTTGTGCATATGTTATAATTCAAACATGTGTGGTGTGCRTATAATTAAAATTTACATTTCTTAACCTGGCAGAGTCCCTTTCATAGTGATTAAATTAGCATGGTTATTTCTGCTTACCAGCTCTGCAACAACCTCTCTATTTATTAAGGTCTTGAGATTGCACCCATGCCAGTGTCRTTCCTGTATCTGTTTTCCCTTGAACTTCTGCCTCCAAAAGAAGCACATTTTCACAAATCCCACAAAATGGTGGGCTTTTTCAAGT